CACGAAACGGGTTTGAAAGAGCTGCTCGAGTCGAGCCAAGTCACCAAGCTCTTCTTTGACGTTCGCTCTGACGCCAATGCCCTCTTTCACCTGCACGGCGTTCGAATGTCCGGTGTTTTTGATTTGCAGCTCTTGCACATTGCGTCGCAAATCGCTCGCGGCGAAAAGATCCCGACACACCTGACAGGCCTTGCCAAAGTCATCCAGGGCCTCTCAACTTCTTTCCTTTCTTATGCTGCGCGCAACCGCATGGACTGGAACAAGCGAGAGGCGCAGCGATTGTTTGCGCCCGAACAGGGTGGCTCGTACGATGTGTGGTTTACTCGCCCGCTTTCCGCCATCCTCATCGAGTACCTCACAGACGTGCACATCTTTTCCCATCTCTTGACCGCCCTGCTTCCGGAGGACCAGCGCGCCATCCATCGTCCTGCCATCGAGCGTGCCTCGTCCCGCCGTTTGAATATTGCGCACGCGCTCGACTTTTCAAAGGACAATCCCCGCAACAAGCTCGTCGACGACGAGCCCTTCATCGACGAGATTGTTTCCAACTGCTCGAGTTCTGTCCGTACCAGGATTAGCAATGAACGCGCTGAACTTCTCCGCATCCAAGCGCTCCCAGTGAAGGACCGTGTCAGAACACGGGGCGGCGGACCCAGTGCCATGCAGGAGGTGTCGGAAGCTCTTCGTGGCCACCGAACAATCCAGCCGGTCATCCTCTGGGACGTGGTCCAGTTCATCTGTGCGCACAACCGCTGGTTTTCGTCGGAAGACTATATGGCGTTTCTCGAGCTTGCCATGAGCAGCTACTACCTCACCATCAAGCAGCGGCAGACCTGTAGCGATTGGCGCTCGCGTAACGGTGCGCACAAGAACCAGCGCTACACCGACGATGAGTGCTACGATTACGATGATGCCGATTCTGACTGACGCGAAGGTGTTTCGATCGTCGTTGGAGCAACCGACGAGCGTTTGTTCTCGCTTGGTTTGGTTGTGAGTTGTTGTCGGTCAAATTGAAGAATCAGTCTGAGAGTTGCAGCTGTCGTCGTTCCTCTTGTGTTGTCTTTTGATGTGCGTACACTAATTCGCATTCGTAGTAGCAGCAGTGCAAATGCAAATGGGTGATCTCAGTCAGTCCTGGTCTGTTCAAACCTGAGCAAGGCAGCGAGCGAGTTGGAATTGAAGTGTGTTTTCTCAACTCATCCACCAAACACGCCGCCAGACATGCATCACGGACGAGCCCCCCGCTTGTTGTCTCTTGTCACATCTATTCCGGCCAATCGGACTGCTTTCTACAGGAGACGAAGCAGCGGGACGAAGAAGAAGAAGCAAATCCACAATTCACACAAACAGGGGGAGCAAGGCCGGTCTGTGCACCACTACCACCCACCCGCATCAACACCCAGGCTTGGGCATCTTGCTCTAAGCGTGTGTGCTGTCTGCATTGGCTCCGTGTGCTTGAGGCTTGGCTGGTTCAGCGCCAACGCCAATCTTTATATTTTATGGATTGTTTTATTTTTTATTTTTTATTTTATTTTATCGCTGCGCTTGGCAGGGCTGCAATAGTATGGCGCTTTGACAACATGCAGATTTTCATTACGACACTCCACTAGCAGCAGCAGCAGCAGCAGCAGCAGCAGCAGCAGCAGCAGCAGCAGCAGCACCGGCGCTGTGATGAGAGTGACGCGAGCACACGACCGCACTCCACAAAAAAAAAAAAAAAAAAAAAAAAAAGTCGAAAATTTTGGCACTCAATCTGTAATTCTGTCGAATTTGGTCGCTTCTCACTTTACTTACTCTTTTGACCGCTCGATTGACCTTTGGTAGAGTCTTTGCACCCGAGGGCTTTTGCTTTCTCAACCAACCAACCAACCAAACAAACAAACAAACAAACAAACAAGCAAAAAAAAAAAAAA